ATAAATGACATTAGGTAATGATAGAGTGGATTATCGTACTATTAATAAAAGTAATATAAATTAACAACAATAACATTTAAAATCTAAATTCCAACATTGGCAATACATACCTTGAAAAACAAATCCATCTTGACAAATTCCGAGTGGACGCGCCGCTTAACCACTGCAACATGGTCGTTCCTCCATAGCACCACAACCCCTCCACAAATACCATCCGGGGGGGTATATTGGAATATGTAGCTGCCTGGTCATTCCCTAACTAGCAACCTCACATTCTGCTCACTGATTCTAGTCTCTAGTATTACTACAATACTAGGCCTATGTCAAAAAAACACCTGCTGGAAGTTTTCAATTAAAGAGGGCCTTGCAAACCCTCTAACGTTCCAGCAACAAATCAACTTGTCGCTGGGCAAGGGTACACGGGGGTGGTGAACAAGATTTGCGGCTCTCCTACCTTGGTAGGAAGTGAAATCAACCTTGTGATAGCCGGCTACATATTATGTTTGTCTGTCAAAGGATACCCACACATGCATAACATGGGGGAATGGGGGTACTTTGACAACTTGAAAGGCATCAGTGTAGGTTCCCATACATAAACGAACTGGAGTTTGATCCAACTCCATTACCGGGGCGTCAAAATTTACAACTGGACGTGTGTCAAGTACATGTAGTGATGGCACAACATTTTGTGTGTTGACTTGGGAACCAAGACACCACATCATGAACATATGGAACTTGTTCCGTATGGGGTAAATGTCATGGTAATTAGGTAAGAGAGCAGGTCGTGGTACACTATCACTCCCTACTGGACGCATAAAGAGATTTGTGAGGGCGTTGGTGGCAGGGTTTGTAGGATTTATAATAAGGAAGGCTATGGTTTCAAGGGAAATTACAGTGTACGTGTTTTCATTAGAATAGTCCTTAAGAAGATATTCAAATGTGGCAAAGTCCATCTCGGACACTAGTCCTGAGGGTGGATTGAAAAACAAGAATGCGAAAGTTCCATTTCCTAATCTTCCACGCCTAGGCATGGTAAGGATGATAAGGAAGGAGGGAACAAACAAAGTGGAGGGAAAGAAATGGAATTTTTTTTTTTTTAAAAATTTTTATATAAGAGTTAATGAATTTTGTGTAAAGAAGGGATTGCATGGAGGATAGTATTTATAGATGTTTCAGAAGCCCCTAAGTATAACATTTGACTTAATATCAACAACACTTTCTACCTACAATTAATGGAATATAATATAACTTTGAAGATTATTAAATTATTTGTCTCGATTAACATAAAACTAACCTTATGAATTAAATGATGAACACTATGAGCAATCCAATTTATATCCCATTAAATTGTGTCAATTAGTATCATTAATTGTACATTGCAAATAAACATTATACGCCACCATAAAATAACTATATTTCGAGAAACAATAAATTAAAGGTAAACACTACCTTAATAACATATATATAATTGGCCCAAGAGTTGTCGGTACGTACTTGATGCACCGGGAGTTTGAGTTATAAAGCAGACTAATAAAACCCAAAAATGGACATCAAGTATATATTCACATGAAAACCATTGAATTAACAATCTTATCAACACTAGTAGACAATTGTTTGCCTTAACCATTAAGTGCATTTTCAATGTTAATGTTGTAACTAATGAATTCATTATCTTTTAAAATTTAAACTTTTTAAACTATTAGCTTGACATAAAATTAGGCAAAAATTAAATATTAAAGATATTTATGATTGGATGAGACTCATTTGGCCAACAAATGCATTATTAGGTAACCATACATGCATTGGGATACTTAAATGTCTGGTTTACTCGGTCGTTCATAGATTACTCGGGCATTCATGGAGAACTTGGAAAGGGGTAACGCGGTCATTTAAGGATAACTTTATTCAAGTGAAGATTCGGTCGTGCAAGGGTTACTCAATTGGTCGCAAAATCATCGGACGATCATGTGTTAACTGATAAGGGTTTACTCTCCTATTGGTTACTTGTACCCACCTTATCATGGCAAGACATTGAATAATTTTTAATTTAGTTTTGAATTAATATAAAATAACTAACCTAGAGATCTAAAAATAAAAGGTTTATGCCATTTACACATTATAGAAAATATCATAGTTGAATTTAATATTTTATTAGCCAGAGGGATATTAGGACATAAACTTTTACGAACTGAACTTAAGAGTTAAGTATAATAGTCTTCTAATGAACCTATTCAAATAATCCATTCTTTATCTAATCCCCAACAAGGCAACAAGAATTTTCTAAAAGACATAGTGCTGAAATACAATTACATTTCCATTTACACTGTTCACCTACTTGAGAGCGAGGGATAGCTAAATTGGTTAGAGCTTACCTTCTGATTCCACGATATATTGGGATCAATTCTACCCTCGCCCTTGTGGGCTTGTGGCTCTAGGCTGTATAAACACCAAAAAAACCCTTGTTCACCTTTTTTCCTCATTAAAGAAACAGTCATACTGAGAATACTATAAAACATGGGACGGTCGAGGTAGTAATATTAACAATCGTTCAACATATATAATTGAACCATTACGTACCAACTCTCACAATCTAGATTGTGGTGTTACAAGTTTATGTATGAGAAGTGACCTTGTTAATCAAGTAGAATGTGATTTCGTCTTTAATATTAAAAAGTACAAAATTATATAGGAAAAATTGCGGAAAATAATACAACATTTGGCCAGTTATTTTTTGATAATATAATATTTTTATTAAGTATTAATATTATAACCTTTGGGGGTGTTAATACTTCACTATGACAATTCCTGTTGTTAACCTGTTTTTGAAGGTTAGCTTGACACGTGTCATTGTTTTATTGGGTTTTCAATTTAATTAATTAATTAATATTTGTAAATAAATTTAAAAAAAGACACCAAACTACCCAACCACCACCACCACCCATCAACCTCCTCCCTCTCTCCCAAACTTACGCACGCGGCACCCTCGGGCCTCGACGGTGACGGTACGGCTAGTGACCAACATCCTCCCCGTCAGCCAACCACTCCACCATTAACCCCGACCTCCCCCTTTCCTCCATCGCGATATGAGGCCAAACCCTAACCCCTAACACGCGAGCTTCACCGCGGTGCAACACAACAGGGCGATTTTCAGGCAAGGAAAAGAGTGAGACGTTGTTATTGGGAACTGATAAAGGGAAGGAGTTAGTTTAGTGGTGTTTCGACGGGTTGTGTGGTGGCTGGTTGCGAGAATTAGGGTGGTTTTGGTGGTGGTTGGGAAAGGGGAAATCAACACGGGGAAAGGGGAGGTCGGGGTTCGGGGGTAATTGTGTCGGTCGGCAGTGGAGGAGTTGGTCACTGTCGTGGGGGAGGGGAGAGGAGGTGGCGTGGTAGTTGCTGGGATTAGGGTTGTTTTTGTTCGCCGGGGAAGGGCGGGCTGCCGCTGTGGAATGGTGGTTGTCGGGGGTTAAGAGGGGTTGCCTTATTTTCATTTCTTTTTTTAAAAAACTTTTTTTAATCTTAAATTATTATTTAAATTAAAAATATTAATTTAATAAATAGAACAATTACCTAATGACACGTGTCATGGGTAACAGGTTTTAAAGGTAACAAGTTTTTTTCCTTGTTTGAAATTGACAATCCTCAAAGGTTATACTATTAAGACTTAATCAAAAGGTTGTATTGTTAAAAAATAACGGGCGAAAGGTTGTATTATTTATCGCAATTTTTCCAATTATATATGTTGTTCCTTTTGAATATGAAATTGAGGTAAAAAATTCTGATTTGTTAGAGACTTGACGTGTACCCCCGACTAGAAAAGGCTACACATATGTTGGCAGCATTTAATTGGTTTGCATTTTGGGGCCTACAATTTCCCTCTATTTTTCCCTTTTATTTTTTTACACCCTTTTGACGTGGCATACATACAATGGTATTGTATGTGGTACCCAACATACAACCATTGTATGTTTAGCCTTATACACCAATAACACAGATTTACGCGTGTATTTGTCATGAATTTCTAATTTTATACAATTTCCAAGAATGTAGTTAGAGACTTAGAGGATATATATAGCCTTAAGGCTACATATAACATTACCCTTATAAAAAAATATAAACTGGTCAGATACGAATTTGTATGATAATGACTTTCTATACACTTGTAGATTTTTGAGATAAGATAAATGGCCAATCAATACTCCCTTGTCGTTATGTGTGACTGGTCATTTGAAACACGGGAAAATTTTTTGGTTTACTTTCTTGTAATGTAACATGTATTGTTTGAATAAATTTTGTCCTATTTCTTTTATCACGCTTTCCCATGCTAAACATTAACGACCATTAACTTAATTTCTCCATAATTATAAATTGTAAAAGTTATATATTATGATAGTACTTATTGAGACGAATCCAAAAAAATAATACATGAATATAAATTGTACCCATTGAAAATGATGTCATTAAATTCTTGTTAAGACTCACTAAGACTTACACAAATTTATATCTTTAGCCTAATATTTCAATATTTGACATATTTTATGTTGAAAATTTTCAAAATACAAAACGGATATTAAAAATAAAAGTGAAGTGGGTCCCAATCTCAAGTCTTAAGTTGAGTTTAGAAATTTAAATAATCAACTTGAGAATTGCTTGATATTTTAGAAGAAAAATGGGGAAAGTCTTAAGTATAAATCTTAAAACTCAAAATGATAATGTCACCCTTATACTTAAGATTTCCGGCAAAAATTGCTATTAGAATACTAAAAATTCTCAGACATAGTTTAAAATCATATAATGTGTTAGTTAGGCAATATAATAAATCTTGTTAAAATATTTTTTTTATGCAATCTTAAAGGATACCAAATCTAGTAAACAAAATCTTAAAGTATAAAAAGCAATTTGTAGAAAGTGAAAGCGTAGCACGTGTACAATACTATGGGGTAAGGGCTATATAGGAAACATAAATCCCATATTTCCTCTTATTCTTACATAACTTCCCTTTTGACACAAAACCTAAACCCTTTGAACTAGAAGGCTCCACAAGGAAGATCAATCCCCGCCGACATTCAGCTGATGCACCAACAGGTATGCAACTTAATCTAATTACCAAATTCCGTATAGTTCATGCATTGTTATTCAATGTTGTACTGTAAATGCTAACTATAAATACCTGTAATTGTGATTGTAGATTATTTACAGTAGATGTGGCATTGAATTGTTCATGTCACTATGATAATTGAATGTAAGGAGTATATGTAGTTTACATTTATTTAGATTTAAACCGAGGAATTATGATGTTTAGACGGGTTGATGCATAGTAGTGATTTGAGTAACGACATGATTATATGATTTTTTCCAGTAATATTGTGGGGGTAAATCACTAATTAAATTATAATTCTGAAATACTATGTGTCTGTTATTCGATCTTGTTTGTTGATGATAATCTCAAGAGGGTAGTCCCCAATATAATTTTCGTATTTTTAATGTTCAATTTGGAAAATCATCTGTCTTGTATTCAATGTTCACATCAGGACAATGGGTATGGTAGTACATAATGTTATTTATCATCAATAATAAATTGATTGTTGACTAGATCTTGAGATTGTGGTCATTGTTTTTGGATTAAGGAGATATGCATTTTTTTGAAGGTTGCTGTACTAAATTTAAAAAGCAAATAGAATGCCTGGCCTAGGTTTCAAATGCTTTAGGAGTCAACCTAAAGCAGGACCACAATATCTGCTAGCTGAATCAACATATAATGCTGGACCACCATATATGTTTGCAAGTCTTCGTAACGATAATATCATTTTTTTGTACTGGTTAAAATGTATATTGAGATATTATCATTTTTTGGTTCTGGTTGTTAAAATGTGTCTCTTTACCATCTTTGTGTAGTCCGGCGAGAGTAATGTCGGCTACACGATATGAATTCAAACTCGATACTCAGAGACGTTTACAAAATGTGGTGAGAAAATATAATATAACCCCCAACATAGAAATACTCCCATATAATGTTAATATAATAACCATTGTAATTGTTTTACATCTATTGTCCATAGCCTCTTCCAAAAAGAATGACTCGAGGTGGAGGAGTTGTGGAACAAATGGGTGAAGGACCGGGGAGAGTTGGTGCTAATTCTTCGACGTGGGAATGAGAAAAAATCATACAAGGTGCATCTGATGAATATTCTAAGTGCATATGGGACTAAGGAAACCTATTTGAGTCATGGATGGAGCGCGTTTGTGCACGCGAACAGCTTGAAATTGAATGATTTCATTGTGTTCGAATTGTATGACATGGGGGAATTGTCTTATAAGGTAAGGATATGGCGAAATGACATCGACATAACAGGTGATGAGGGCCAGGCAATCAGGGAGTACGTTCTAGAACCGATTCCCACTTTCAGATTCTAGTTCATACCAAGCTACATCTTCAAACCCACTATTGTAAGTTGAAGTATATTAATGCCTGCCTTGGATTGATGAAATGGTTTATGAATCTTTCTTAATTTGTTGGTGTAGAACATTCCATTGGCATTCACAAGAGAACATTTAAAGGGTATCGAAGAGTCCTCCGAAATTATGTTGTATGGCAGTAAGTCATATGAAGGAAAAATGCACATCAAGTACAATGAAAAAAAGAAAGTTGTCTCTTGCATGATAAAGAAAGGAGTTAAAGAATTTATTGACGGTGAGAAGGTCGAAGATAATGAGAAAACAATCATTGAGCTATTAGATAAGGAGCCACCATTTTTCAGCATCATATTTACGTGAATGGCCGATCATGGTGCTTCAAATTCAGTTGTGAAGTATATTATGCAGGAGTCTTTGCTATGGTACTCTATTAGGGGTTGGTTGTGGATGTTTAAGCCATGAAATATGCACAGTTTAATGGTGTTTAAGTTCGTACTTTTAACAGACATGAGTAGCAGTTATGGGGGTAACTATTATTGTGCTATGTAGAAAAAGTTATGACTTAAATTGTGTTAAATCCTTTAATCCTTTATTGGAAAGTATCTGCTATAACGCTTTTCCTATTATGGTATTGATCCCGTTAATTTTTAATACATCTAAACCATTGTATCCTTACACACTGTGGGAGCTGGGAGGATGTTTGGTATCGTGAAATACAACCTTGATATACATGAAAATGAATTATATCTTTTAAAAATTTATACTTAATTTGTAATAACAGTAAGTACATTTGAAAGTCTATTAATAATACAAAAAAAAGGATTACAATCGATCTTTTACATTGAAAATAATGTGCAATCAATGGTGGAGTTAGCCCAAAGTCATTGGGGAAAAAAGTGAGGCTTTTTTAATAAACTTACCCCATACCTGAGTTGTGAGCCTGTGACGTGAATAAGTGACTAACTGATTACGATTATTCACAGAATAATTGATATAATTAGATGGTTTGGTATTAATCCCCCCACGTGTACAAGGGGTTCTGTGTTATTATTTATTCTTTATATTCTTACACTTATAACCCATGTGTTCAGGAATTTGTAGGATTTAAAATCTTTTTAGAGTCTAATTATACTATGCAGTAAATAATGACCTATTTTTATACGGTATGTATATAATGGCCAGATTCGGAACATATACTCTGGTATGCTAATATTAGTAATGAACACATTTATTAGTAACTTCCTAATATATTTTAATATTCAAAATTAATATTAATATAAGTTTTAATTAAGTTACTTTTTTGCGTTTTGATTTTATCAATAAATTAATGTTATAAATGAATTTCATTGACTCTTTGACTTCTTACCCCAAAATTAAACAAAAATACCAAAAAAAAAATATATATTTAAAATTTCAAATGAAACATTAAAAAATATAATAACTGTCCTCTTTTAAAAAAAATGAATTTTTTTTTAAAAAAACTGTCATTTTAAACATTATAATCCGGTTTTTAAATTAAAGACTAAACCCTTCCTTCAATCTTCTTTTTTATAAAAAATAAAAATAATAATTTAATGCATAGGAAACATTAAATAAACATAACTGTCCTTTTCAACATGCAACTAAAAAAAAATAAAACTGTCCTTTTCTACATATATTCCGGTGACATTAATGACCTAACCCTTTACATTCATCTCTTTTCAAAAAAAAAAAAAACCCTTCCTTTCATCTGAAATCAAACTACACAACTCCTGCCGCAGCAACACCGTTGTCCGACTCCATCTTCCCACAAGGATATTGATTCCCCACCCTACCAGGCTACCATGCTTCCATACCACCGTCGTCCAACTTGGTTACCCTAATTACAGTAGGAATACGGTAAGTTTCACCCTCATTGTAATTCATTTTTTACGCGTTCAATTTAATTTTTTTTAGGCTTTAATTTGGCCAGATCTACATGTACTCAAGTTTGGTTGGTTCTTAGATTATTAATTATTGAACTTGAATGTTTGATTCTTATTTATAGTTTGTGCTATGTTTGATAAGGCATAGAGATTTGGTCTTGCATGTTCTCAGTCGAAATTGCAACTACGTATCTGACTAACTTATCTCGTTAAATTTGATTTATTGTGGACACATGGTTGTTATTTGGTGATTTTATGCTTAAAAATAAATGTGTTCTTATTTTCACATTTTATTTTAGTTGCCCATTGTTTATTAATAATTTTGTTTTTAAATAATAAAATTTGGTTACGTTCTCAATCTATTATTTATACATAATTAAATACGTATTTAAATTTTTCCTACCGATATATTTTAATTACCGCGAATTTAATCAAAACGGATTTTTATTATTAGTAACACCATATAATTTGTATACATTACTGCGTATGATGTCAATATTCAGCCCCTTTCCCTTTGTATAATTTTTACAATCGAGCACGTGTTAGATTTTGTTGTCAAATCAGTAAACTGCGAACAATTAATAATTACCTATTTTACAAATACAATCTGTTATTCACTTTTTAGCTATGCCGGAGGAAGGGCAAACTTGGTTCACCGTTCTGATAAACGATGAGAAGCTGTCTGAATTGGTGAGCAATTACATTTTATTTTAACACTACACAAGTGTATTGAGAACATGTTCTGCTATCACCCTTGAATTTTAACAAGTACCTTTTAAATCTTATACCAGTTTGTTCCAGATCATATTAGTAAGCGCTTTCGAAGGTATTTTAAAATTGTGAGGGTATATAGAGGCGATAACAAACGTATTTACCATGTTAAGTGGGTCAAGATTAGAGAAGAATCAGGCATAGAGATATATTTTAAGGAAGGATGGTCTAATTTCGTGAAGGACAACGGTATAATGCTTGGTGATATACTTGAATTGTTATATATGGGTGATGGGGCATTCAAAGTACATATCTGGCGTGGTGGCCAATACATCCATGACTTTGTTGAGATATCTTCTGATTCTTCAGAAGACATTGAGCAAATTGAAAATGATGCTAAAATAGAGGAGCCTACCCTCAACGATGCTGAAATGGAGGAGGTTAGCCACAACGATGCTTGGTTGGAGGAGGATAGTCTATCATTGCCCAATGACAGGTGTAGCTGGATACCTGACTTTGAAGTCAGATACACGGGTCCATACAGTGCAATGGGAAGGATGGTATGGCTATATAATGACAATTCAAATTATTTGTTGGTATTCTATGTATGCAGAATGTGCCCCATAAATTTGTACTAATTATGTTGTTGTAATAGTGCAGAATGTGCCCCTGAAATTTACAAGGATCCACTTCAGTTTTTTTAGACACGAGAATCCTGCTGAAATCTGGGACAGAAACAATAAAATGTGGAAAGCAAAACTGTTTGTGAAGCGAGATTCCAATGGGAAAATTGTCTTGTGCAACATCAGGGGTCAAGGAGTTGATGCATGGTGTGAAGGTTATGGCTGGGAAGAAGGTCATTGTACTGTTGCTTCGAAAGAATCCACTAGACTTCAAGGTCTCAATCAAGTAGTACCAAAATCAAACACTTCGGTTATATGGGGGGAATTAATCTTTGAACTATTGTTTGTCAACAACTCTTTTGTTTCCATTTTATCTGACTTGTGTTGTATCTAGGTCAGCTTATGGGATGTTGAAAATATTTCCTTATGGCTTATGTGTATCATGTATGTGCTTGTTTATGAATTGTATTTACTAACCTTTGAACATTTTCATAAGGTTACCTTTGAGATATTTTAGAACCCTTTTGGTTTTAAGAATGCCATATCAATTAGGTGATTATGACTACAAATTTCATTAAAGGTTCAATTAGGTTAGTTGATTTTTAAAATGTCCACATTTCTTTTTGGATGAGTGAAAGTTCAAACTAAGACAAACTTGATTCTTCGCCCACTACAGCCAGGTTGCATAATTATTTCATGTGATCATCATGTAAGCTTTGTTTGAACAGAGTATTGCAGCAAATCGTTAGTATATGCACATCATTGGATCCATAGGGTCTTTTTTATTTACCAATCTGGACAATTGGACTTCTCAAAATAAGTTGGAGGATTTGGGTTTTAATAAGATTGTGAATTTCCATACTTCACAAATTTGTAGGACAAAGTAGTGAATTTCACAATTACTCCAAATAAAGATAGAACCACAATTTCATATGGTTTTTTAGTAGATCCAATTTAGATGTAAACGTGATTCGACAAGGTTAATCCTTTAACCGTTTAGCATTAAATAATATTTAATGGTTTCAAATGTCATTACAACATTACTAAATTCAATTTATTAATATGAGAATTGATATTTATGAAGGAAATATGTTATCCCATATGTTATATTCCTAGAATACTTCCTCCACTGAGTCCATTCTTTAATATTGATAAAATATAATATAAGAGGTGTCCAAAAGTTTCATTGTCTAATACAAACATTTTTTTAGACATGCCATAGCATACATTAAATGTTTGTATGCTTAAAAACAGAGCTTCATGGATCATACACCCAACCTTATGTCACACCAGGATCAAAACACAAAAGATCAGACACTAATAAAGACACTTAAATGAGACCATATAACCATTTACCCAAAACATCATTACTCCACGTTAAGCGATCCCAGAATAAAGTACTACCCTTACGACATAACCAACAAAAAACCATAGTCTACAGTAAAGTAAACAAACATAGTCTGCAATTCGTCATAGGACTCATAGCTAAGTGGACAACTTAAATATACCAGTCTTAATTCAATTTGGCTTAAAGTCTAGACACCTTAAAGACTAAGGGAGCCGTACGTTGCAACTGGACAATGACTTTTTGACCGACCTTGATATTCTCACCACGGATCATTTCCTTAACTTCTTTTTTGATGTTGCTTAAGATAATTTGTTGTTTGGACCCTCGTTTTAAGAAAAGAGTTCCCCTCCATTTTTTATTTTTAGTGACCCATAGTTCAGCTGGTTTGGAGGCACCAAACCGATTGAAGTGTCGTCTAGCAAATTCAAGTGGTACATTCTGCAACAATAGACAAAACCATAAGAATAAAAGTTATTCTTATATAACACGATATATTTAAATATGTGATTAGAAATAAGAATAAGATACACATCATACCATCATACCAACTGCACTATACGCCTTTGTGAAAGTGTCTTCGAACTCAGGTAACTTGAGACAACGAGGTTCTTGAGAAATTATTGAATACGGTCGTTCGCGATTTCATCATCACTGTCACTCGAATCACTCCAATAGGAAGAATTAGACGATATCACTATACAGTTACGAGTGATATCAATGCCATCACGCCATATGACTACCTTGAATAACCTATCACCCAGATACAACAAGTCGAGTCTATCACCAATCTCTATGCCATTGTCCTCGACGAAATCATGCCATCCCTCCTCAAAATATACATTTACCCGTGATATATCTCTAACCACCATCCACTAAACTTCGTAAATCCTTGTACCACTGCCTCTTTGTACTTTAACAACATCATTACTTTTGCGAAATAATTTACTTACTTGATGTGGAACACACTAAAAAGAATTTTTATTAAAATTTTGTTAAAATTATAATTTCAATTACAGTTGATTACACATTACACAAAACCTGTTAATAAAATTTAAATGCTTACCAAAACATCCTTCTTCTCATCATCAATCCTAACGGTGAACCATGTATGACCGTGATCAAGCATACCTCTCTCATTATAAGCAAAAAAAATAATTAGAATATTTGTTGCAAGTACAATGAAATTAAACCTTGTTTGACAATGATCAAGTATTCAGAGAAAACTAATGACAATAATTGTTACAACTATCTTGAAATAGCTCCCTATAGTATGAACTTGATAATTCAATCAAAGGACTAACCATAATATAAACATTCTTGGTTGCGACGTCGGAAAAATGGAATTGACCAAATTAGTCCGGCGTTGACCTGGGGTGGCGCGTGACAATTTTTTTTTTTTTTTTTTTGTGGTCTCAATTTTCCATCGTATACCTCCCTTCTTCCCCTTCAATTATTCCCCCAAATTTCATTTTATTCTCTCTCCTCTGTGTTGTGAAATTGATTCCAAGAATGAAATTCAAATTGAATTACTTACTCCCCCAACTTCCCCCTTCTGCAGATTGGATTCCACTGAAAGGAGATGGTGACTTTACTTGGTGAGGTACAGTACGCATATTATTATCTCTCTCGTGTTGTTTTTTTCTTTTACTTTTTTGTACACGGTCAACCCTTTGAAGTTGTTCTCCCATGGCGCATACAAAGAAAGGGAAAAAATTGTTAAAGAATTTGGATAAACCATAAATAAGGTCATGAAAACTAGGTAATAAAGCTTAATTTTTTACACTTCCTGAATTCGAAATTGCAGAAATTTGGGGTTTGATTTGATTTTTAAAATTTGTTAAATGTAGTGATTCATCCATCTTTAATACATTAATTTATTCATTTAAGTACTTAATTAATTGAATAAATGAAGTGATGATGTTGGGAATTGGTTTTGATTTATTTGTTTTTTCTTTTTCTTAATTTGTGTAGTTGCATTGTGCGTGCATGTGTTGTTAGTGGGTGGGTCTTCAAATATTTTTTAATTACATTGTCATAGGATTGATTGCTGAATAAATTATGCACTTTGTAATTAGTTGTTTTTATTTTGTATCTTAATTCAGGTTTAATTATCATTATAAACTGTATAAAGTTATGGATCCAATAACATAAGACTCTATTATGGTGGTCAGTTTGTGACTAGGAAGGGCTACACCACTTACGAACACAGTAATAGTGAATATTATGGACTATCATTGCAACCTAATGTTGAAGAGGTATGCTACTTTGACTTTGTTGATTGGGTTAAGGAGGTAGGATACTATGTTATGGGGCAGCTTTGGTTTAGTAAAGATGTTCAAAGCTTGTTTAATGGTAGGTAGCAGCTCAAAGATGATATTGATATAGTTAATTTTTTGTTTTCTACAGAGGATGATGGTTGGTACAACATGTATTTGGAGCATGAGGAAAGAGTGGTAGATAATAAGAGGATGATGTGTGGTCCAGATAAGGTTGGAGGGTACAGATATACAGATTCTGGGGAAGGGTCTACATTTTTGGGTTGTTTAGTGTGTTCTGACTCACTTATACTGATTCATCAAGTGGGTCACAATCACTAGATGTAGTCCTTTCCAATCCCATCAAAGCTCTACACTCCACACAAACATGAATTTGAGGTAGACTAAGAAGGAGACAGCTATGTGGTGAACTTAGAGATTAAAACTTGTGGGTGTTATAGGTCGACTTTGATGGGGATCGCTTCTTGGCATGCATTGGCTTGTATTGCCAAAAGAAGACTTAATTATGAAGACAATGTCCACCGAGCTTACCATGTTGCAACCTACTCAGCAACATATTCACCAGCCTTCCATGCCATGCCAGGAGAGAAGCAATGGGACAAGTCACTTTTGCCTGAACCTTTACCACCTCCCTTTAAAGTGATGCCTGGAAGACCATCACAAAAGAAAAGAAGGAAAGAAGCAGGAGAAGGGAAAGACAAGTATGTTAATAGGGCTAAGGAAACAGAACACTTGTCAAAGATTTGGTGGTTTGGGTCATTATAAGACAATGTAACAGTCTAATCAAACAAAAGGGCCCAATACACAAAGGTGGTAGACCAAGGAAGGATGGTGGTGCAGCTTCATCCTCACAAACTGTCCCAACCACAACATCAGCAACTCCTATAAATCCTGTACCAGCAGCAGCTGCATGAAGAAGGCAATCAAGTTCATCTACACTTATGATAGGAGGGGGGTACTTCTTGGAAGGTCAACACCCAACCTACTGCACCATCAACAACTTCTACTTCCAAAAAGGGCAAGTCTAAAGCAATTGCACCAAAGCAGAAAATAAAGAATCAAATTACAACTTCTGTTTATGCTGACCAATCCTCACAAGCATCTCAGCAGAGTTGTTTGTCTCACCATTGAACAACGTACGTTAAATTTCATTTTATGTAGTCACTTTATGTAGTAGTTAAGTCTATGTAATCCACTTTTTCTTACACTTTGGTATTTCTGTGAACAAGTCAGCTTTATGTAATTTGCTACAATTATATTGCTCCTACCTTACAAGGAAATGAGGAATATTGGATGAACATTGTTTTTGTTCTTGTGGTTATACACATAAAGTATGTTCAGGTTGGAATTTCTATTTATAGTATCAGGTTTATTGCATATGCCAAATTTGTCAAACTTCATTAATTAATTCATTCAATCATTGAAAATTTGAGAAAAGAAGCTAACTTTATCCATTCGTTGAAGTATGTCTAAATTGTGAGAGGGGTACACAAAACAGAGGGGAGAGAATAATATTTGGGGGAAAAAAATTAAGAGTTATGAAAAGAAGGGAGGTATACGTGGGAAAATACAGAAAAAAATTAAAATACAAATATATTAAGTAAGGTGGCACCCCAAGTCAAAGGCGGACTAATTTGGTCATTTCCCACTTTCCGACGTCAAGGTCCCCCGCCGCAACCAAAAACATTTAAAAGGTCCTTCTATTCCACTTTCGATTTACAAGGTCCTTCCTTGCAAACAAGTGTATTTATAAATCCTTTGATGCAAATTTTCCTTTATTTAAAAACAAATACGTATATATTATTTTAAATTTTATTTTCAGCATTAATATATGTTATAATAAATTAACTGTAATAATTAATATACCAAGGAAAAATAAAAATTTATGTTCATTATATTTTTTGATGTGGATTTAAACCCCTTAACTTAATAAAGAATCTAAAATCACACAAGTAACACAAGCCCTTCGAATTTCCTAAGAAAATCGAACAACTTAAGAATAACGAACCGGATATGACTTTGAAAACGACCACTCCTGGAACGAATTCAACGCCTCTCAAATTACCTAGACCACTCCTGGAACTAAGTACTTTGATGAACAAAACTTAGACTACTCCTAGAACTAAGAATTGAACGTTCTAATTATCAAAACAACTCCTTGAATTGAAAACTAGCAAAAGAATTTGTAAGCAATTAAGCAAAACAAACAATTAACTTGAATTTTAATGATTTTCGAATGTTATTGAAAAATCACGAAAATTACATTATTTATAGACTAAAACTAACTATTCCTAAGTCTATTCAAACTAGAAAAAACCCTAGCCTTGATCCCAAAGTATCCTAGATAGAATAGGAAAACCAATTCTAATGGAACTAGGAAACTAGTAATAAGACTAGTTCTAATTAACCTAAAACTTCTTAAAACAATTCCTAATTGACTTAGAAATTATTTTAAACTAAATTAACAGAAATTAAGAAGATTCCTAATTGCTTAAACCAAGAAAAACCCTTTCAAGTGAAAGGTAAAAACTTGCAAGCAAAAACTCTAGAAAAACTAAGTTAGGAAAATCTTTCTTTTCGTACTGCCGCAGAACCACCTTCTCACGCGCCGCCATCATCGACACGCGCCCCACCGCCGTGTAGCTGGACTCAGGCCGGAGCTAGGGAGACGGCGCGTGGCACCCAGATCGGCGCGTCGCCGCCGTCGTCGGAACCCAACTGGTCCTTGACTTCTTCTTCAATGGCTGCGCATGTTAACCATTCTTGATTCTTTACTCCAAGCTCGAACCCTATTGGCCTTAAAACCAATATGATTGGCTCTTCAAAAGAATTTCCCTCTTGATCCGGGTCATTTTTAAAATTAAAATAATTTTAAATGACATATAAGGGATAATAATCACGTAAATATAAAAATAATTTAAATATCATTATAATGTCAAACATAATCAAATTACATAATTACAAAAACATTGTGACTATCATTAAAAAGTCAGACTTATTTTGTCAACGTAAACATAGTGTTTCAATTAACATATATTTTTTTTTACAAATACAAATTAACAATTAAACTGTTTAACTACATGTATCATTGATAATACATCATTTTCTCAAAAATATAACAAGGTTTTAAAAACACTACAACCGCACCCACACAACCAAAAAAAATTAGCTTACGCAATGATATATACAAAAACAACTCAAAATTCAACACAAACAAACTTGTGAAAATCAGATATATATACATAGAGAGAAAAATTGGAAAAAAGGAATACATGCAACACATAATTTCAAGGATCCCAAGTACAAAAGTATACAATTTCAAATTATCCGGACCTTTAAGCCCATGTTATACAAGTACCACGTTTCAATGGAGATAGATCTATGGAGTTTAAAACCAAAAATTCAAATTATATTGTGTGAAGAAGTTACCGTAATGGGCGCAATCCTCGCGAAAACGGAGACGACCACTATCGAATCGAAGACTGCTAGGATGGTAAGATACAATTGAACTTATTGTTGATCTCGCCGGAATAATTGTGGGTATCACCGTTGTTAATGTATTGAAGGCTTGACGGTGGAATGAAGGGCGATGAAGTGGGTTTTTACTTTAAGTGTTTGAGTAAGTTCCTAGTGACTTCTAGATAGAGAATTTGTATTTATATGGCAGAGATTAGAATTATTTAATAAATTTAATGTAATAGGATATTTATGAACGGATGGGGTTAAAAGTCTTAAAACCGTATAAAACAAAAATCTGTCCTTCTAGAGGGTTGGATACATTAACAAACAGTGGTACACTATCTTTATACAGTCCTATTGGGAATTTATCTGCACATAACCATTAACATAAATAGGAAATAATTTCTCCTACAAATACTCCCTCCATTTTAAAATACTAGGTCTGGTTTTCTTGGACAATTATGCCGATACTAAACTTTGATTACTAATATCTATAATTTTCAATATGTACAAATTTTAAAAATTGAAAATTTATAAACTATTCATTAAGATGATACCGACATTTATCCACAAGATTATATGATTTTCTAAAGTATAAAACACAAACAATAGTCAAAGTAGGATAAATGAATTAAGCAAAAAATAGAATTGGACCAAGTGTTTAAAAACAGGGGGCAGTACTATAATTTGTTTGTACATATTCAAAAGTACTTACTTTACTAATCAATAGACAAAACACACCTTTCATGTTTTACTCATCTTTAATTTCATTTACATTATATTTTTATATCTAAGTTAGTTAATAAATCATCACACATTAAAGTACGGAGCATATAAGTGTAGTTAATAATGTAATATATTAAAAGACGTTTCTAAATACGATGTGACATGTAGTTTCTATTTTGTTGCGCCACGACATCATATAAAAATATAAGGCTAAGGAGGTTCAAACTCTAATCCTCTTTTAACAAATATGACTAATTAACCATTTAAGACAATATCAATATGTTATTTATCAATTGTACGGCTACAACAATAGCAACCCGGGGGCATCGCCCGAGGTCATTAACTGGTTCAATGAAATTTAATAGGGCGTTTATTTTTTTTAATACATTGCCACCGGTTTGAATTAAACCGGTGGGTAAAATGGGTTTTCCCACCGCTTTGGTTTGAACCTGTGGAAAAAACCACCCCTCAAAATCCCTCCTAATTTTAACCCTATTTTCCCAACCGATTTTAAAGAACCGGTGGCATTTCCTCGGTGGCAATCTCCTTTTTTCACCTAGTGATCTATATCTATACTTAGTCTATAATTTAGGATTTAAAAAGACAAACCACAATCACCTATATGACACATGTCATCATAATTCACCTATATACCACATAATACATCCATTAATAATATTTCCTCTTCATACTCCCTTTTAATGTAAAAGTTAAATTAAAATATAATTGAATACTAAAGTTTTTATGCATTCCTAACTTGCAAATTTGAGTAAGAAAATGGAGTGTTCCATTTTCACTAAAAAAAAAAATTGTACTCCTCTCTATATCCTTGTTAATGTAAAAAAATAACAAATTATTTAATGTTTAAAACTTTATGTATTCCCAACTTGCAAATTAAAAGTAACAAAACTAAGCAAATTATTACAAAAAATCACCGACACATACAACACAAACAAGCAACAGATTTCAAGAAAAATAAAGTGAGCTACAACCCGTTCGTTGAACGGGCCAAAAGGCTAGTTATAACAAATTTAGTAAACAAAAGACAAAATGAAACACGCGTTGTTTGGTTTTTCCCTTCTTTAATTTCATTTACTTTTATACTATTTAAAATCTAATGTAGTCAATATAGGGTCACATATTAAAGTACGGAGCATAATACAAGTGTAGTTATTTATGTAATACCTTTCAAGTTTGAGCCTCTATTCATTGATTAAACCTTGAGGAATCTATATTGTTATGGGATAAGGATCCCACATAACACAACTTTGAGATTTTATATCAATGCTATCATGTGAAGTGAATTCAAGACCTCTATATTTGCATTATTTGTATATATTAGAACTTATTTAGTATCAAAAGACAAAATTAAACACGCGTTGTTTGGTTTTTCCCTTCTTTAATTTCATTTACTTTTATACTTTTTAAAATCTAATGCAGTCAATATAGGGTCAAATATTAAAGTACGGAGCATAATATAAGTGTAGTTAATTATGTAATACCTTTCACGTTTGAGCCTCTATTCATTGGCTAAACCTTAAGGAATCTATATTGTTATGGGATATGAAAATCCCACATGACACAACTTTGAGATTTTATATCAATGCAATCATGTTTAGTGAATTCAATGACGCCTATATTTGTGTTATTTGTATACATAGAACTAATTTATTAAACAATTTAACACGTGTTGTTTGGTTTTTCCCTTCTTCAATTTCATTTACTATTATATTTATTAAAAATCTATTGTAGTCACTATAGGGTCACATATTAAAGTACGGATCATAATATACGTGTAGTTATTTATGTAATACCTTTCAAGTTTGATTCTCTATTCAATGGTTAAGGAATCTAATTTGTATATTGTTATGGGATATTTATCCCACATGACACAACTATGAGATTCTTTATCAATGCATTCAAGTTTAGTGAATTCTACGACCACTATATTTGCGTTATTTGTATAAATTCAAACGAATTTCGTAAACAATAGATAAAATAGGGTCACTTATCATTTATTTTTATATTCAAACGAATTTGAGTGTCTATTCATTGGTCTTGCCCTTTTTTAATTTCATTTACTTTTATATTATTTTTTAAATAATTTAGTCAATATAGGATCACTTTTCAAAGTACAGAGCATAATAAAATTGTAATATTGGGGAAGCTCTTGTAATAAGCTCAAACATTATGTTAATAGTATGTTAACAACAATTAGTAACAATATTATTTGACTTATTATTCACGGCCAAAATATGTAGGCCTTCTTTAGTTAAAAAAAAAAAAAAATTAAAAATAAAACTAATAAAAATAAAAAAAATTTCATAAACCAAATGTAGGCCTCTTCATCAATTTTTATAAATATTCAGAACCTTGAACCAAAAAAAATTATTGACCTAATGTAGGCCTCCTTTATTGTGTAGCAAATCTTCACATGGGCCATTTTTGCCTTATCTTCACATGGGCCATGTTGGCCTTATCTCTGTTCGTGTACAAGGCCCGTGTATATATTTTATATATATATATAATAGAATAAGTTTAGTTATTAATGTAATACCTTTCATGTTTTAGCCTCTATTGAATGATTAAACCTTAACCAATCTAAAGTGTTAGTGGATAT